CACCACACAAGAAAACATTTTAATGTTTAACATTTTAATGGAGAGTCCTCAGGAAGTTTGACGTGTGAAGAAATCGCTGTGCCAAAAGCTAGGGTGAGAATTTGTCCTGTCTGTTGTACCATAGTAACTCCTTTTTGTACACATTTACTAGCAGAGTAAATGTATAGAAATGGAAGTGACACTTGTACCTCAAGAAAGGAAGGGAAGTTTTGTTTGTTTGATAAAAGCATAGGTAGGGCGATGCAGCAGAATTATTCATGTGCTGCAAGTTCACGTTCTGCTTATAGAAATGTGTTGTCTCTCTTCTGCTGGCTGTAAATACTTTCTGTCAAAACAAATTGAGAGCAATAACATAGGTGTTTTTCAGTGTCTGATGCTTTCTGTAGGGTGTCCTTGTTGATCTGATACCAGCTGTCAAAAATGAGGGGGGAATGGCTAGAAAATAACCTGTGAAAATGAGGGGTGAGGAAGATGCTTGTATTTGAAGTGCTGATATGTCATATCGGTGTGTAACAGCTGGTACAGCGGAGCATAACCCCTCCACCTCCTGCCCCTTTTGAATTTTCAGGGCATGGGAGAGATGTCGTCTCTGCCAAACAAGTGCAGATGCAGCAGCTGCGAGGAACCGTTTTATAGAGAGGATCCAGACAACTGTATCCTTTCTCAGCTCACCGTCCCCTTCCACGTGCACCTGATGCGGTACAGCAGGCACCGGGTGCATTCGCCCTGCAGCATGCTCCCATCTGGAGAGAGTTATGCCTCCAATAACAGGAGTTCAGGCTGGGTCTCTAGGAAGTGTTTGGGTTTGGTTTTTTTTTTCATAGCGCAGCTCTTAAGCAGTCATGAAACTTTTGATCCAGACAAACAAGGCCACAAGGCAAACATGCCGTACACAGCTGTGCTGTCGTCCTCTTCCCCCTGCAGTGCCACTTCATGGGCTGCTCGCCCTCTGCCTCTGCCCCTGATTCCAGCTGGCCTGGCCCAGGGCTCGAGGCAGCGCACAGAGCTGCTGGTGTGAAACCTTCCTTAAGCTGCTGTTGTTTGAGTTCTGTTCACCCATGCCAGCCTTCAGTCCTGCGGAGATAGAGGAGGAATTAAAGGTCCTCCAGGATGTCACCTGCCTTCTGAGCCAGTATGTGGAAGCTGAGCCTGCAGGTAAGGAGGAAAAAGAAATGGAGGGGATAGAAGGTGGAATAAGGATGATTTTGGTGGGCTCCAGTTCCATGTGTCTTGTGTTCTTGGCATGTGCTGGATGTGAGCGACAGGTGCATTCTCTGCCTAAAATGAGGGCTGGTGAACCCAAGGCCATTCTAGAAACTGATATTTTGGGGGAAGGTTTCAGTATGCTCATACCTGCTGGTTTTCCTCTGCTTCTCTTCTAGATCATCCCACTCTGCAAAGAGAGTATGAAAGCCTTCTAACCTTGGAGGGTTTGCAAACCACAGTTTCCCAGTGCCTGCATAAGCTGCAGCTTCTGCGAGCAGGTGAGCCAGTCCCTGTTTTTGTAGTTGGGTATGAATGTGGCCAGCTGTGCTTGAACAGTAGTTTGCCATCTGTGCGCAGAACACTGTGGACCAACATAATTTTTCTCCTGGTTATCCTTAATGGTAATGTAGCATGTGAAATTACCTGGTGGCAAACAAAGCCGTGGTATCTGTCTGCCACCCATCTGCGCTCAGGAGAGGCTTGGGAGTTTTAACTGCTGCAATTCAGGAGGACTGGTGAGGGAGCTCTTGAGAGATGGGGAAGGCTGCATGCCATAGCTTAAGATGTCCTGACTGTGCCATGTGTGAGGAGCTTACCCTGACTAATACAATGACATTAGTTGGGCATTTCAGACAGTAAGTAGATAACAAATTCTGCAAATACAGGTTTAACTTGTATTGCCTCCTGCCAATTCTTTCACCCTGGCAGCTGTGGAGTCCCAGATGAGGCTGTGCCCAGACTGCACTGGGGATGTAGGAAGCTGCTCTCCAGCCTGTGTTCCTCCCTGGGGACAGATGTGTGACAGTGCAGGCGTGCTGGCTGTGCCTCTCCTTTGTTACTCCAGTTTCCAGGAGCTGAGGGACCTGTTTGCCTTGAAGCTGCAAGTGTCAATGCTGCACCAAGAAATTGCCTTACAAAAGGTGAGCCTTTAAAGGTGTTAGTGCTCCTGGGGTAGGGCAAGAAAAGGGCAGCTGTGCGGCAACAACTGGCATATGGGGTCTTGATGGGGGAGCAGCAGCACAGCAAGCACTCGCAGTGGCGTTTTTTATGCCTCATGTCCAAAGCCCATCAGTGCCTTGCTTATTTTGTAGTTGAATGGACGTACTTTCGTGTTAAGGCCAGCGCAGAGACCTTTAAATGTCTGTCCCTCTCCTGATAAGATTTTTTTTTTTTTAGCTACTCCTGAAAGTTTTTGGCAGTGGAGGATGTTGCTAATGCCTGCAGACCCCTTTTGGCAGCCCTTTGCAGTCCCATTAGGGCACCTGCTCTATCATTCTCTCCTGTGTGACCTCCAGCTAGTGACCTCCTCCGCTGTCTGTTCCTTTCCTTTTAAATCTCAAACCACTGTGCTGCTAATCTTAACTTTATTATTCTGAGACTGCCTGCAAGAACACAATAGGAGGTCAGTCTCTCCACCAGCCAGAGCAGAGTGCTTGCTGCACAGGGATCATTTGTTCTTTTCAATCAACAGCAGCAAAGGGCAGAGAAGATCTGTGAAATCACATTTACTCCTTTGACCTAACTTTTGCTGTTGACCTGAATGATAGAGGCTTTGGAAAAGCCATTTTTTGTAAGCCAGGGAAAAGTTATTCATAACTGGCAGCACTCCTCCCACTGGCTGAAGACAGATTGCTGCCTGTCTTCAAGTGGGACTTTAGTGCTATAATCCTGAATTATGGGTTGTGAGGTTTTTGATTTTTATCTGCCCAAAATGAACCAAAGGGGACCAAAGCCTGCTGCCTGATGCTTTGTTGAGTGACTCAATTTCCTCTGCACATGTATCTAAATAGGTGCTTTGTGCTGGGTGAGCTGTGAGTATCTGAAGCAGCTCTGTGCACAGCGTGGAAGATAGGTGAAATTCTTGAGACGGGTGAAGTGAACGAACTTGGTGCGAGATAAAAACCCTGGCAAACAGGATGTACCTGTTTCCAGATCAAGCCTGTCCATTGCTTTTCCATGGAGGA